CTTGTGGTATTTCTATTATAGCAGCACTAGATGACTAAGACAAGTGTCTTCAGTTACCAAAAATCATTAGTGGCTCCTAGAAAATGAATGCAACTTAATCATGAGGCTAGTTTACTTGTACACAAGTCTCACAAAAAAGCATTTAGATTTTCTCACATTAATACTTGAGAAGCTATGGGTAATAAAGCAATGGATCATACGTCAGTAATTTTTCCTCAGAGCCAAATTTATACAAATTATGAAAAGGTCTATGCTATATCACTAATTGAGTGCTTTTGACTATGAAGTCAGATGCCTATTTCTTGTGTCTCCAAAGACCTTTTAATATTGGCATAAAGTTTATGTATGCATTTTTGCTTCAATAAAATATTTGATTACACTTCAATAAAATTGCTTGCCCAATAATTAGCAAAAAGAAAAGTATATCAGACTGAAAAATATAGTTGATATTTTCCATAGCTATAGACAGTCAGGTGATGCTCATCTGAACAATGGGTATCAAAAGCTTAAAGAGGTACTTAAAGTTTAAACCATTTGCCTTTCAAGTCGACTTGACTCATGGCCCATGTGGGTCAGAGGAGAACTGTGCTCCATAGCGTTTTCAGTGGCTGATTTTTTCGAAGTAGATCATTAGGACTTTCTTTTGAGGAGTCTCTGGGTGCCCTCGAACGTCCAAGCTTTTGGTTAGCAGCCATTTGCACCAGCCAGGGACTCCTTGAAGAAGTACAGTGCTGTAATATTTGGAGGAGAGAGGACTGCTGGGTGTCAAATTTTATTCTAAAATCTTGTCTCCAGAGTTTACTTTCTTTCACGCTTTTAGTATGACTTATAGAGCCACATTAACTTTCATAGAATTAAAAAAGTAAAATGTATCAAGGTTTAACTCTTAAGGAATGAGAGTAATTACTCATCATAGCTTTGCAGAATAGGACAGCATTGGTGAGATGTAAGAGTAATAGGGATAAGAATTGGAATGGAGACATAAGATTATAACCAACCTGATTTGTAGCAAACAGGCATAAGACTTAGCTATTGTTAAAAATTTGCTAGCTATATAAACATATCTCCTTGGACAGTTTCAGTACTTAAGATAATGTAAAAATTAATTTGTTAATTAATATATTTTTGATTTAGCACCAGTAATTTAGAAATTCTATTCCAAGGAAATTATTACAGGCAAATGTTAAACCAAAACCTAGCTCTACAAAGATCCCCCGAAAAAATTAAACACACAAATACTCAACAAATATGAAAAGTAGTGAACTTGGTATAGTAATACAATGGAAAGTAAGATAGCCCTTAAAATATATCTTCCTAATGCCATCACTTCTCTTTACTCATTTAAATTCCGTAGTCCATCAATAAAATCACTTATTTGCTTACATTTCCTCTTTTTACCATTCTCAACCTAGCCAAATTACAAATTACAAACTTGCTTAAACTCAGTTGTCAGCCTAATTCATGTCTGCACCTAAGAAGATGCTGGAGAAAAAATACACATAACCATGATGTTAAAGGCATGATCAAAAATCTCAAGTGGACACGCAATGCTGCCTGACAATTTAGCCATAATTGTCTATTGTATTCAATACCCTACTCTTCCAGCAAAGCCTTCTCCTTTTCCCTTGAAGATCCTTTATCCCTGGTACTTATGATTTTGCCTCATATTTATGGAAAAAATAGAAGCAATCAGAAAGAAGTTTCCACATTGTCCTAATCCCAAATAGACCAAGATACCACATTTGTACCTGGCCCTCTGCCTTCTTTCCTGCCACTGTAGATGCCTTGTTCCTCATCCTATCAAAGGCCAACCTCTTCATTTGTGCTCTAGCTCCATCTCCACTTGCCTCATCAAGTAACTTCCTTCTTTAATATGCTCATCTTAAGCATACAAACTTGAGAATCTCAAGGTATTAAAAACAAAACCTTCTTCTGACCCTGTATCCTCTTCCCTTCTCCAGCTATCTCACCATTTCTCTGCTCTCCTTCAAAGCAAAATTCATTAAAGAGTTACCTATAGATGTCTCCTCTCCCTTCCCTCACCTGCTTCTCAGCCCATTCCAAATAAGCTTCTGTCTCATTTCTCCAGTGAGACCCTTCCGGTCATTGTCTTTATGGCCTATATGCAGCAAACTTCATGAATTCCTTCTCTATTACTTGACACTCAGCAACATCAAACACATTTGACGACTGCTGCTTAAACACTCTTCTCTCGGCTTCTGTGACACCACACTTTTCCAGTTTTCATTCTACCTCACTAGTTGTTCCTTCACAGTCTCCTCTGCCAGCCCTCTCCTCTTCAGCCCAGTCTCTAAAGGCAGTGGAGCTTTAGGAGTCCCTTGTATACATTCTCTCTAGGATATCACGTTTAGTCCATTATATTAAGCACACCATCTCTATGCCGATGATTCCCAAAACTGTATTTCCAATTCAAATCCTCCCTAGAACACTAAACATGTATATCGAACTACATACTTGATAGTTCCATCAAGATATCCAATAGGCATTTCAATAAGACCTAAGCAGAATTCTTATTTCTTTCCCCCTTTCCTTAGGCAAATGTACCTCAGGAAAAGTTATCACTATATATCCAGCTGCTCAAGTCAAAGATCTAGGAGCTATCATTTGTCTTCTCTTTCTCTAAACTGCCACATCATATCCGTTGGTAAGTTCTGTTACTCTACCCCAAATACATTCCAAATCCCATTAATTTCTCTCCATCTCTACTACTACCATTTTAGCCCAAGCCACCATTATCCCTTTCCTGAAAACTACAATGGCCTCTTAAACAGTCTTCCTGCTTTTACTCTTGCCCCAACCTCCCACAATCTATTCTCCACCTAGCAATTTGAGTAAGCTTTTATAGAATAAAGTCAAATGAAAACTCACCAATAACTCCCTATTGCACTTAGGAAAAAAATCCAACTCCTTCCTCTGGCTTTTAAACATTTTATGATCTCACCCCTCCCTGTTTTCAGCTTTTATGTCATCTGTTCCTCTCAGACCTCCGTATCATTGGCATTTTCTGCATTCAAATTCAGCTTTCATGTTACCTCTTCAGAGAACTCTTCCTTGATCTCCCAATAAAGGATAGCCACTCCATTGCTATAACATCATCTTATTTTAATTTTCTAAGTAACACAGCTATCTGATATTGTACTTTTTTTGTTTGTTTGATTGATTTAATTTTTCTTTCCCAACTGGAATGTAACAGCTATGAAGTCAAGGGTTTTATCTATTTTTCTTATATCTCCATTACTTAATATCTTGGTTGGGGTATCCCACATGATTGTAATCAAATATTTACAGGAATGAATGAGATTATATATTTGTGGTCTCTAGTGATAAATTGAAGAGACTATATGAAATAATGTAAAGTAAAACAAATAGCACAAAATGAACACTGATTTCTATGTAAAAAATAATGCCTCATTAATGATAAGACTGGAAGTATTGGTGTCATGGAAAGAGCTGGAGTTAGATAAGTCCTAGATTCATCACTTTCCATCTGTTTTACCTCAGGCAAGTGTCTTAAGCTACTCAATTTCTTTACTTGGAAAATGACAATAACTCTACCATTCTCACAAAATCACTGTGGGTGACAAATTTTTGTTATTCCATAAAATCGATTATCATTTATGTTATACTTGATAATCGAAATAGCAAAAACCATTGCACAAACTAGTATTTTTAGTCATCCCTAACTTTAGCTATAAAAATTCATAAATTCTCCTTCCAAAACTTTTTTGCTTTCTCTCTCTTCCTCTTTTTCCCCCGTCCTCTTTTTTTTTTGGACACATACCTTCTTCTGGTGTTTGTGTCCTCAATGATTCACTCCAATCACTCCAAATTCCTTTATGAAGATGTAGCTTAGAGGCAATCTGAAATTCATATTCTGTATATGGTTTCAGATCAAGCAAATCATGTTTTCCTTTGGCATTTGTAACATTAACCTTAAATCAAACAAGATTTTAAAAGTTGCATATTAATATTAAATTGATTTAAAGAATCTTAACATAAAGGGAAGAGGCTAGACCAGATGGCCATTTTAAATTTTTTTTTTCAAATCTATTATTCAATGAGAAAAAATTTCAATGATTGGGTTTCTAAATACACATGATGCTAATCTGAAATAATAACATCTCATTAAAAAAAAAAAAAAGACACAAAAAACTCCTGGACTAAGAACCCAACTACATGGATTCTAAGAGGCATCCTGAAACTGGCTGAACCATGAGTAAAGACTGAAAACTACTGTTCTCAAAAACCTTGAAGAATCTACACTTGAGATTACCTTTTATTAGGTTACAACTAGTGTGTAATAAATGTTGTAACACAGACATAGAACTGGCTTCAAAAAGAAAACTTTAATTAGTTACATCTCTCTTGAGTATCAGCTATATATGGAACTGATCCCTTATTATTATTGTAAGTCATCGTATTTTACAAAAATACTGGAAAAATTATAATCCTATACTTTATATTATAAAAAAATCGATGCCTAATAGTGTGTCAAATTGTGGTGCTTTAGCTTTGCAATATACTCTCTCCTTACTTATTGACATGGTTAGTTTCCAAAGACGAAGTTGTTATGCAAGATTGATGCTACGTGAAAATGGAGGAATACCACATGAGATCTCAAAATGGAAGATGACTACATCATTACATAACTGCCAAACCACTGAGAATCATGGCCCAGTCAAGCTGGCATATAATCTTGACCATCAAAGCTAGCATTACTCTTGCCTCACACCTTGGAGTTTGTTACTGCCAGATGTATGTCGTTAGTGCACAAAATAGTTGGATAGTAGATTTTTCACTGTTGTCATAAATGCAAAATGTCAGCGAATGAGATAGTCGATTTGTGATGCGACAGTGTAGTCTATTCCATATAAGCCTCTACAGATATTCTCTAATATTTCTGTTTCCTATATGTCAAAAAATTGCTAAAAAGTAATAATGGGGGGATATAGTAACAGGGAAAAATGAATCCTATACTAGAAATAAATGATAGAAAATTAATGTTGGTTTACAGAAGCATGTGGCTTAAAGATTTCAGAATTAGTAATCAAAATTCAAGATATTTCTTAATAAATGGCAGTGTAGTTGACTTTCTGATATATCTCAAGTATGTATTTTTGGGCAAAACATTCCTAAACTCCACATTTTGCTGGCAAGAAAAGACAGAGGTCTGTGTAGTAATGTTAAGGATGCCTTTCCATTTACTCTTAAGGCCATTACCATATTCCAGGACCCGCCATCAATGGACCGATATTTGAGTCGATTAAGGGGCACCATTCCCTCATCTCTCCAATGAAGGGTACATCTTCTCACGGAAGCATTTAGAAATTTGATTCTGATGTCCCACGGAGGAAGAGGCTTCACTAGCAACCAGGATAAAAAAGTGTAATTTAGGCTCCATGCTTGGAAATTGCCTTATGTATTAACATGAGGTATAAAGAGCTGAAAATGTTCATTTCTAAGCTGAACAACCACCAAATTTGGTAAAAATATATGAGAGAAATCCATGGCTTAAAAAAAAAAAAGAAAAAATTTGATTCATTTCTAAATCATTAAAACAATTTCCCTTAATCCACCCTAATTTTTACCAAATAAAACGATACCAACATTCCTGATGGTGTCCACTCCACTTAATTCAATGACTCAAAGAAAACCAGTGTTCCAAACCCAAGGGATTCCAAGGGATAAAAGAAGGCACAGTCTGCTGGTGATTGCTCCCAGGAGGAGAAGAAATATTGATAGGAAAACTCATAGGAAAGGGTCAGAGAAACAAAGAAGCAGAAGAAAAGACTAAGGGGAAAAGAAGATGGCTTAGAGATGAATCATCTATGGAAAGAGATGGACAGAAGGGTGGGGGAAGTGTAGTAGGAAAGTGTATAGAAAATGCCTCTGTTTAGACTCATATAGTTACCAGTTTGTATGCAAAAAAGTGCTATGAGAAGAGAGAAGATAGACACATTGTATGAGGCTGGAATTTCAGGTATGCTAGAAGCTCATTCCTACCTGGGATGGTCAGAACTCAGGGATGCCTGTGGTTGGCCTCTGATGTAACTGGGCCCATTTTATTTGCTCAGAAATGTGCCAGAGCTGGTTCACTCCAGCCCTCAAGCTGGTAAAAAGGGTGGAGGTAACTATTTCCATAGAAAGTTGCATTTGTACCTTGATACATTTTATTTATAATTTGCATCTGGCTACTCTAGCCCAGTAGGCCAACGTGTAGCCATCTCAGAACAGTAGAAGTATCCATGGGGTAAAAAGATACTTCCACCAAGAAGGGCTTATACTGAGCTTCTTGAATGACCTCATGGTCAGATGGCATCGTTGGGTAGTTGGTGTCCTCATGAAGTTGGTGCCTTCATGCCTTGAAGCCAGGAGTTCTCATTTCTCTAACAGAGAGAATAATGTTTAATATCCTATGTCATACAGCCATCTCTGAATAGTTCTAGGTTAGTGCACTCTTTTATTTGCATTAAAGTAACTTCTTCCCTTTGCGTATGCTCATTGGTCACTTTCATCAACCACTGTCTCCAGTGAAACAACCACATACAGAAGATTTGACTATATGAAGAAAAAAAATTCCATGTGCCAATGAATGACATCTATCAAGAGTGAAATAAAATGTACCTATGTCCAAGAATGTGAATATGGATGGAAATGAAGAAGAACTTCCAAGCCTATTGATAGCAGTAACCATGGCTGTATAACTGGATTCAGGTGATTCAGGCTTTAGGTTTATTCCAAGATCCAAATGATCACAATAATGATCTGTACATTGCTTCTGCCAAGTTAAATTTTTTGGTCCATTTAACCTTTAAATAAAAGATAATTATGTTAGGAAGATACTTTATGTGATACTTTCTCCTTTAAATACAAAAGAACCAAGTGTTCAAATATTTAAAATTCTAGACTGTTTTTTTAAGGTCAGTGTTATTACCAGGGGAAACATCATGGGAACATTTGTATTCTATGGCCGTAAATATGACCATATCCCCCTTCTCTATTTTTTTGGTAGAACTTAGATTTTCTTTTTTTTTTTTTTATGTTCACATAGACAAATAACTTTCCTGAATATACAGCCTGAATTCCCTGGTGGCCATATTGGCTCCTGAGGGCAATTCCAATCATTATCCAAAGGATCCCTGGCTATCTTGGCATCAATTGCACAAAACAGCCAGCTCTTGGCAAAGAAATGGCTAGACTGGGATCTTGGCCCCCCCTCCTTTCCCCCCTCTCCTGTTCACTCAGGCTTGGGGCCACCTACTAGAAGCCAGCTGGATCTTTGGATGAGACCATGGAGTCAACGTTTCAGATCTTTTCTTCTTGTAGACTTGCAAGTCAGGAAAAGGTGCTTTAAAAAGGGATGCCTTCAAGGCTTACAGAAAGCTACCACATGAAAGAGTCTATTTATATATCACGACCCCAAGAGTTTGCGAATGCAAAAGAGGGAAGTGATATTATGCAGTCAGTTTAACCCTACTAGACCAGGGAAGAACTCCCAAAACTTGGGCTTTGGATGCTGTTAAGATCACCCTCAGTTAGAACTCAGACTGAGAATTTTTTCCAACACATCAGGTATCACGCTTCAGGTGAATGAACCAGTTTTAACTGACAAACACTAGATTCTTGTAAAGGATCTAATTGTCTAGGGGTGTCTGTTGCTTTTTTTCTTTAGTAAAAATAGAACTGTTGGGTATTTTTAAAGGTCATCTAAGAGAAGTCCTACAAAAGAGCTGCAAAAATACAGCCTCTCACTCACTGTAAAGTATAGGCAGTATATAGGTGGGTGTCTCTTCCTCTGTCCCATGTGCAGGCCACAGTCCCATGTTCTCCCTTCTGTATGCAAGATACATTTTGAGGCTGTTCTGGAACAACTTTAAAAAGAAAGAGAGCATATTTTAAATATCACATTAAAAAAACAAACAAACAAAACTCGTTGTCATTGAGTTGATTCCGACTCACAGCAATCCTATAGGACAGAGTAGAACTGTCCCATAGGGTTTCCAAGGAGCACCTGGTGGATTTGAACTGCCGAGCTTTTGGTTAGCAGCCAAAGCTCTTAACCACTATGCCACCAGGGTTTCCAAATATCACATAAGTGATATTTAAATCACATTGTTATGTATTTGCCTAACAAAATGACACTTCCTACCAACTCAGCTCTTCCTCCACCCGCTATCCCCCACATCCAGATGAGCGGGAGGCATTACAGAGTTCATCCAGTTAAAATTTACCTTCAAGGCATGCATTCTTTCTAATAACAGTAATAATAGTAGTGAATACGGATCAAACGCTAAGTATATGCCAAGGCCTATGCTAAGTGTTTTACGTGTGTTTTTCTCAATTAAAGATCATTGCAGCCTTATGAAGCAGTGTAATGGTTAATGTTATGCGTCAGCTTGGCTAGGCCATGATTCCCAGTATTGTGTAACTGTCCTTCATTTCGTGATCTCATGTAATTGTCCTCCATTTTGTGGTATTGTGTAATTATCCTCCATTTTATGTGTTGTAAATCCTAAACTTCTATGTGCTAATGAGGCAGGATTAGTGTGGAGTGTATCTTGAGTCACACCCTTACTAAGGGCGTGACTCAAGTCACAGCCTTACTCAAGTCACACCCTCACTCAAATCTCTGCCTTACTTAAGTCACCGCCTTACTCAAGTATCTGATGTAAGGGGAGTTTCCTCAAGGGTGTGACCTGCATCCAATGCATACATGGACACTCTGGAAAAGTTTGTTCTCACTCTGGATCTGGCATCCAGTTCATCATCATCTGACTTCCAGTTCTTAGGACTTGAGCCAGCAGCCTGTCATCTGACCTGCCAATTTGAGTTTGTCAGCTCCTGTACCCACACGAATCAGGAGAAACCTCAGCCTGATGCTTGACCCAAGGATTTGGAACTTGCCAGTTTCCACAACAAGCCATTTCCTTGAGATAAATCTTTGTCTATGTATATATGTAGCTATCTATCTATCTATCTATCTATCTATATGCATGCATGCTTCACTGGTTCTGCTTCTCTAGAGAACTCAGCCTAAGACAGGTAAATACTATTATTAACCTCATTTTATCAACAAGCAAACTGAGACATAGAGTGATTAAGTAGCTTTCCCAAGATCACAAAGCTATGAAGTGGAAGAGTCAGACGTGGCTCACTGGAGTCCAAGCCTTCAACCACTACATGCTTCTGTTCTGCCTAACAGGTGAACATGCTTAGTTACCTCAGGTGACAGTGAGTTAACTTTTTTAGAGTGAAGCCTATTCAAATATCAAAACCAGTTGCCATCAAGTTGACTCAGACTCATGGCAACCCCATGTGTGTCAGAGTAGAACTATGCTCCATAGGGTTTTTAGTGGCTGATTTTTTGGAAGTCAATCAGCAGGCATTTCTTCCAAGTAGCTTCTGTATGGACTCCACCCGGCAACCTGTCAGTCAGCATCCGAGCATGTTAACTGTTTGCACCACCCAGGGACTCCATTCAGATATTGTTGTTGTTGTTAGGTGCCATTGAGTCAATTTTGACTTATACTGATCCCATGTGACAGAGTAGAATTGCCCCATAGGGTTTTCTGGGCTGTAATCTTTATGGAAGGAGATTGCCAGGTCTTTTGAAGGCAATGCTCTGTTATTGTTGAGATTTCAGGCTGCTCTTGAGAAGCCTGAAGCCATTCTGATTCTTCAACCATTATAAATGGTCTGTTTTTCTCTTCAAAAGATTGTAGACTCTTCTCCTTGTCCCCAGTATTCTGAATTTTCACAAAGATGTACTAAATGAGGGTCTGTTTTCATCTATTCTTATGAGTTCTCAGAGGGTTCACACATTCTGCAAACTTTTGGCTTTCAGTTTGGGAAAAATTTTCTTAAATTATTTCTCTGATGATTCCCTCTCTCCTATATTTCTTTGTAAAAACTTCCATTATTCATGAGTTGGACCTTCCTCTAATTTTATCTTTTATCTCCTATATTTTTAAACTCTTGGTCTTTTTGTTCTACTATCTGGGAAATGTCCTCAGTTTACACTTCAGCCCTCCCATTGAGTTTCTAATTTCTGCTTATCATCTTTCTCATTTGTGGGCATGTTTTTTATTCTCTTAATGTTCCCTTTTTTATAGCATTCTATTCTTGTTTGGAATCGGCTCAACAGCAATGGGTTTGGTTTTTTGGCATATTCTTCTTCTGTATGCAATATTTTCTCTTAATTCTCTATTAAAGATAGTTTTTTTTTTTCTTAACACTTTCTTCTCCCTGAATACTTTTTATTTTCTCCACTTTGCTTACTTGCTTTATTCCATGTGCTTTTTTTTTGGTTTACCTCTTTCACGTCAGGCAGTTTCCTCAGAATCTTGTTTTTTCACTCATCTGTAGGAGAGTCCCTGAGTGACACAAACAGTTAACACGCTTTGCTGCTAACCTAAAGGTTGGAGGTTCAAGTCCACCAGAGGCACCTTGGAAGAAAGGCCTGGTGCTTTAGCCTGAAAAATCAGCCATTGAATACCCTACGAAGCACAGTGCTACTTTGACACACATGCGAGCACCATGAATGAACTCGGCGGCAACTTGTATACGAATGGGGCACTAAATTACAGACTGCAGCTCAGCCTGTGTGTTGATGGGGGCGGGGGGCATTTGCTAACTCTGGGTTTCATCCCATGGTGATCTGGCTAGGTATTTTGGGGAATTCCTATTGTCAATATTTTTAGATATTTCCTCTTGGCCCGATTGGATTTCTTAGAAAAGGATTTTCTAATTTTCTGGTACAGGGCTGGCTGCCAGCATTTTTGGAGCTGAATGCAGGAAGAGAGCTCTATGTAAGTATTCCTTTAATACTGCTGGTTTTCAGTATGCTATCGCCAACTAGGGGACTTAAAAACCCAAAAACCAAACCCACTACTGCCCAGTCGATTCTAATTCATAGTGACCCTATAGGACAGAGTAGAACTGTCCCATAGGGTTTCCAAGGAGCACCTGGTGGATTCGAACTACTGGCCTTTTGGTTAGCAACTGAACTCTTAACCACTACGCCACCAGAGTTCCCCCAGAAGTACATGGTGCCACCAATTTCTGAGTCTTTCTAGGATGAGGGCTTCTGCCTTAAATTATTTCATTTTGACTTTTCTCACTGTCAGCTGTAGGCTAAGTCAGTTACTACTGGTCCACCTGCTTTCTAGCTTCCAAAATTTTGTTGACATGTCCTCTTCCTCCCATTCTTTTTGTCCTTGAGGGTTTACACCACTTGAAATTTTTGTAATTTTGACCTTATTTCAGGGGGAATGAACGTAAACATATCTGTCACACCCGCCATTTTTACCCTAAAACCTTCAAAGTGTCTCCTGATGAGCAAATGTGATATAAAGTGCCTCGCACTTTTATATAATGAAGAAGAGTTCTCAACCCCTCCCTATTCCTAAAGGTTTCGTTTTAGAAAATGGCAAGATTCACCCACAAATCAAGTCGACTTTCTCAACGTGAGTTCCCTGGACCACAAAATCAAGGTGTCTCCTTGACACGGACTTGGTTTTGGCAGAGCCTGTCTGTCCCAGGGGAAACCAGACATAATTCTCCTCAATGTAGTTAATGTCAAGGAAAGAACAGCAATCAAAGGCTTTGAAAGGTCAAAATAGCTTACAATATAATAAATTGTTATAAGTATTATGGTTGTTATTGTTTTTAAAAGTCCTATTTACTAAGGGAAATAGAAAAAAACTCAGAAAAATAGTTATCAGAAATATTCAGTCAAAGCATATATTAAAAACCACCAAGGAAGAATTAATTTATTGCCTTGATTATCTAAATGGTTTGTGGATCAATCTTATGAGGTTAAGCTAGAGCACTGTGTCTAATTATTCCACAGTTTGGATGAGGTCTACGTGGCAGAGCAGCCCAGGCCTGGGAAGGGGCCAGGAAGAAAAGGCTAAAAGGCGGCCTGCCTATTTCCAGTTCTGAAAAACCAGCCAGCTATATGATAGGCCCTCTCAGGACATAGGACAGCACTCTGGACTACCACTTATCACAGAAAAGAAAATGGACTATTTTCTCCCTCACTAGACGGATTGAGCATATTACCTTGGGGGAAACCAAAATTCATTGTCTTTCTTGGAATGACTGGCTATATTCAGAAAAAGGTGTCACTTCCAGTCAGTCCTTCACCTCAAAGGTTTAAACTTGCTCAAAGAGTAGTCATTCGATTGTGTGGTTACCACTTGTTCTTGTTGCACAAGCAACGTTCTGGCAGCACCACCCAACTGGGCTGCACCAGGACAGATAAGCATCACCATCTCCCTAGACCTTTGGATCCTGCAAATTGTCATAAATGCGTTCATGTGCCCTGGATGGAAAAGTAAAAATTGCAACGGGGATGGCAGTATTCCGATGTAACTTAAAATAGATATGAAACAGAACGAAATGGCTAAGTACATCTGCACGGGAACTGATCACCAAGGCTGTTGTTGGTCTACTCAAAAAGAAGTAAATGCCAGCAGCACTGCGGGCAACTGGAACTGATATGACAGAGCTGAGAATGCCTTATACAAACATGCAGTATTGATCTGGTAAGACAGTGAATTACCTGATTGAAATATTCAACTGTTCTGAGGGCAAGGGAAGTAAGGACCAATGGTGTGATTTTTGTTTTTTAATTTCATTTTGTAGATAACCAATGCTTGTGCTTTCTTTTAAGGAAACATGTGCAGGTAGCCAGCATGCTGCACACATGAAGGAAAGAGTAAAATTGAATGAAATTGCAATCCTAGCTCTCATTATCAAAGTGCCTCCTGTATGTCTGGCTGTAGATTTAGCACTTTGCATATAATGTGTCATCTAATCACTGTTGCTTTTAGGTGCCATAGAGTCGGTTCCCTCATTGTGACCCTATGTACAACAGAACAAATTATTGCCCAGTCTTGCTCGTCCTCACAGTTGTTGCTATGTTTGAGCCCATTGTTAAAGCTGTTGTGTCCATCCATCTCTTTGAAGGTCTTCCTCTTTTTTGCTGACCCTCTACTTTACTAAGTGTGATGTCCTTCTCCAGGGACTGGTCCTTCCTGATAACTCGTCCAAGGTATGTGAGACGAAGTCTCACCATCCTCATTTCTAAGGAGCATTCTGGTTGTACTTCTTCCAAGACAGATTTGTTCATTCTTCTGGCAGTCCATGGTATACTCAATATTCTTCACCAATACTATAAATTCAAATGCATCAATTCTTCGTCCATCTTCTTTACAACCATCTTATGCATTAGGTGTTCCTATCTTCATAACACAAATGGAGAAACCGAGGTTCAGAGAATGTAAGTTGTCTAAGCGTACACTGCTAGTGGCAGGGTTGGGATTCAAAGCCCAAGCTCCTTTTACTCATTACAGGCAGTCTAGGCTGATTGTGTATGATCTGTAAGTGGTGTGAACGGGAGGCCTGAGCTGGGAGAGGAGCACTGGATCTAGTTTATGCCACCTCTCACCCTTCTCATCCCCGCTGATTTGCTTGGCCATGGTTTTCTGCTCAGTGCTTCTGGTGGCCCTCTAGGAAAATTGCCTGGCACCAACCATATCCTTACAGGTCACAGAGAAGAGTATCCCATCTTTCCTGGAAAGCATCTCATTGAGCTCCATATCACTGCCTTCAGAGCAGAGACCCTGTCCTGGCGTGTTGGTCAGCCAGCCTGCAACTCTTTCTAGCAACTCTTCCTAGTCCCCTCATGCCTCTCCCTCCACTCTGAAGCTTCCTGGAACACTAGGCACAGGGCACCATGGGATCACTAAGGCTATGGCTGCTCACTGGTTTGCCTGGCTGGGCCTGTGAGGCTGGATGCCGCAGGCTGCAGGCTGCAAACTGCAGACATGTGTGATGCTGACTCATGCTGTGCACTGTGGCTCATGCTACAGATACCAGTTCTGATGTCTTAGTTCTTACTTCTCAGTAGCTGCCTGGAGGGACCCAAAGGGCAACACAGCAACATCAGGTTGTTGCCCCAGAGGGTGAACTTTGATCAGTGAGAGACAGATAAATTCTTCTCTTTTTCCCTTGTCATTGCATTTCCATATACTCTTTCTGGGGATGTCCCTAGTGACCAAGTAACCAGCTGTGTTTTCTGTCAAAATTGTGGCCAGCTAGTAACTTAACCACCCTGTATTTGCTTTCTCTCCTCTCCTGGCTCACTTCCTCACTTTTGCCTCCCATGAATATACGCCTCCCTCCCCCCACAAAGTGTTAGCATGTCAGTTTTGTCTCAGGCAGTTTTCTAGAGAACCTTGAAAAAGATCTTAAGTATGATGATGTTGTTGTTAGGTGCCACCAAGTTGGTTTCAATAGCTCTCCTTTAACCTCTGCTAAGTATGATAACCAGTGGTCAGGGGTGATTGTGGTTGGATGGGAATGAGAACTAATGAAAAAAAATATTTTAAACATGATTTGTACTTTTTATGTTGCCTTATTTATTGATTTATGAGAACTGCTTTTTTGTGCATTAAGTTAGAGAAGGGGAGAGGTGTTCAGCCTTGGGTAGCCAGCCTGGGTTGCATAAGTAGAAAGAGACATCTCGTTATTTTTGAGATTGTACCTTTGAACAAAATTTCATGTCAAGAAGCATGAAGACTGAGCTGTAGAAGTTCCAATTTCCTGCCATTAGCGTCCAAGGAAAACAGGTAAATGGTCTTAACGGCTGAAAACAAACAAACAAATGAGCCCCCACTTCTATCGATTTCTGGACTTCTTACACTGAGGTCCTCCTGTGTTGCTATCAACATAAAATATTCCCATGTGACAGAAGAAGAAAGAAAATTGTTCTCTATTTGGGTTTCTGTTTAACGCATCTCAAGTACCAAAAGTACAGCAGTTTTTAAGAGTTCAGAATGGAATGCTCACCGCCAACGGAGATCTCTGCCCCACATATTCGAATCTCGTCACTACTGCTGCAGGCCAGTTTGCAGACAAACACGGTTGTGCCAAGGGGAAGGTCTGTGACTTGAGAGCTGAGGGTCAGGCCTTGCTGAAAATGGATTTTTCTGTAGAACTTGTAGAGGATTAACTTGTTAGAACTAGAATAGCCTGAGCAGCCTTGTTTGGGCTTCAAAGAGCATGAAATATTGACGGCTGATCCAAGTGATATTACATGGGAAGGCTTCACGGTTACTCCTCCTCTCTTGCACACATCTGCAATAAGATACAAATGCAATACTCAGTAGGCACATAAGAAACCTATTTCAGAATGGAGGGTTTGTGTAATTCCCAAAGGCAGGGTAAAATGAACCCCATCACATCATGGACATATAATCCATACTGCTCTGGCTGCATTGGTGATGCATAAGGAGACTAGAAGGCAACCATATTAAAGTCTAACTGTATTTGAATTAAAATATGCATCTTTCTCAAAATGGTAATATTATAACCAGTACTGTAGTAAGAAAGTGGTGAGAAAATAGGGTTGGGAAAACACGCAGGAACACAATTCCAGGAACAACTAGCCTCTGTTATATGCAAATCATCCACCAGATTCCAAAGAGGGCTTCTCAGAAGATATCGTATTTGTTTTTATCACCATTTATAATTTATAATGCTTGCTTTAATACTCATAACAACAACAACAAAAAGTTCTAAAAGGATATCGGAAAATTTAGGGGCAGATTTGGGAATAGTTCCTTCTCTTTCTATATGTTATGGATTGAATTATGACCCCCCAAAATGTGTGTCGACTTGGCTAGGCCATGATTCCCAGTCTCGTGTGATTGTCCACCATTTTGTCATCTGATGTAATTATCCTACATGTTATAAATCCTACCTCTGTGATGTTAATGAGGTAGGATTAGAGGCAGTTATGTTAATGAGGCAGGACTCAATCTACAAGATTAGGTTGTGTCTTAAATCAATCTCTTTTGAGATGTAAAAGAGAGAAGTGAGCAAGAGACAGGGGAAAGTAGAGCCAGGAGAATAGTGCGTCCTTTGGACCTGGGGTCCTTGTGCTGAGAAGCTCCTAGTCTGGGGGAAGATTGATGACGAGGACCTTCCTCCAGAGCTGACAGAGAGAGAAAGCCTTCCCCTGGAGCTGATGCCCTGAATGCGGACCTCTAACCTACTAGACTGTGAGAGAATGAATTTGTCTTTCTTAAAGCCATCCACTTGTGGTACTTCTGTTATAGCAGCACTAGATAACTGAGACACTATATTAGTAGTATAAAGTATGTGTAATCTGCAAGATATAGCAAACAGAAAATATTTGGGGCTCTGGTGTGTTTGTAGTTGTCATCAAAGATGGAAATTAGGTCTTATGTTATATTCTGGTAAGGCCTTCCAAAGGTAAGGCCCTGGGGTGGATGAACCATTACCCCATATAACTAATATGAGATTACATGAATGTATTCCTCTTTTTAAAAAAAGTTCTCCATACTATTGCCCATATTCCAGATACCACATTAAATTCTCGTTTGGAAGAGAGATTGTTCCTACTCCCCAGAAGCTTTCATATTAACAAATGTGACAACTGCTGGGAAATTAACAGTTGCTTGTGGTATTCAGTAATTGTTGACAACAAGAACTTCAGAATTATAGATTCACCCGGCATTTTCAGTTGCAATATAAAGTCTCCACTGAATATCTTTTTTGGGTAATTGTAAGGTTGCTTGGATCCATAATCAGAAATTGGTAAAAAGTTATTGAAATCAACTAAAGGACACAATGAAAATCATTTTAAATAAAAAGTTCTTATTTTTATTTTCAGACTGAGTCTTTCAGTCTCTTATTTTACTTATATGTTTGTTTTCTGCTTCTTTGATCTGTTTCCTCTTCTTAAAGGGCCAGAAAGTCAAAAACAAGCTCCCAATAAAAAGTAAAGAAAATGCTAGCTATTATTGTTTTTTTTTAGAATAGCTGAATGCATCCATGAGCACCCCTTTGTTAAAATGCACTATAAAGTAAAACATGCATATATGATGCCTAGCTGGGTTACTTAGCCACTTTCTTAAGAGGAAATGATACGATAGAACTCTTACATTAATAATTAGTATAAATTAAAAAAAATACGTTCAGCTATAGACATAGCACCAAACTTAACCACTTAAATGACAGAAGATTGACTAAAAAAGACCATCTACCAGAACCTTTACCAGAAATGCATATTATATCTGTAACTGAGAATCTAAATCTCCAGTCCTTTCACGATTAGCTTACAGAAATATCTTACCTATTTTTGCTTTAATCAACAGCCACATGGTTATACAAATAAATGCCAGTGAGCATCCTCTAACAGTATATGCCATGAACAGTCAGCTTTGGAATGCACTTCTGTATTCTTCCTTGTAAAAGAGACAAATTCATTCATGTAAAATACAGTTAGAAAATACTAAAACCAAAATTGTTCAGAATAGTTAAAATGTCATTTTATGCTTCCGCATTGCTAAGATTTTGTTATTTTAAAAAATAAAGTACACGTTTAAAAGTACTACATTGAAAATCTTGGCTACCCTCCCCGGCAAGTTATGAGTCCTGGGGTCAGCAAAGGATGAGAGGAGAAGCATGGGCTTCGGAGTCCTTTAGACCCAGGTTTAAATATTTTGTGACCTGGGGCAAGTTACTTAACCTTTCTGAGCTTCAGTCCCTTCATTAAGAAAATAGGAAGAATGAAACTTATCTTTCAGAGTTTTAGATGTAAAAAAGTCAGATATATAAAAGCATAGTGCTTGATACTCAATAATATTAGTTCACAAACCACCCCCTTATTCAGCATTCAGTGGTATTATGATCCAAATACAGACAAGTTCCTCTTGCAGGTAAAACCAAACCCAAACCCACTATAGCTGAGTCGATTCTGACTCATAGTGACCCTATAGGACAGAGTAGAACTGCCCCATAGGGTTTCCAAGCCTGTAAATCTTTATGGCAGCAGACTGCCACATCTTTCTCCTGCAGAGTAGCTGATGGGTTCGAACCGCTAACCTTTGGTTACCAGGAGAGCGCTTTAGCCACTGTACCACCAGGGCTCCTCTTGCAGGTAAGGCCCTCTTTTGATACCTGTCATCTACAGTCAATTGAAATGTCGGTACAATTCTTTCTTTCATTCACTCCCTCATTTATTCATCCAAACACTTGTCATTTACCTACTTTATGCCAAACACTATGCTAACCGAAGGGTTTGCAAAGAATAATGAAAAAGATGTGGTTCCTTTCCTTGGGGACCTCAAAGTCTAACCTGGGAAACAAATATCAATAACTATAATGCAATGTGGTGTGTGATATTCCTGTAATAAAGGAACACAGAGCTATTAGAGGACCAAAGAGGCAGCAACTGATTCTTGGTGAGGTGAGGCAGTAAGGTGGGAGGAAAGATAGTCGCAGAACATTATAAAGAAAAATAAATGACATTCATATTTGGTTGGAAGGATGTCTAGTTAGAAAAATGGGAGAAAACTTTCAAAATGTGCTGTCTACTAGACAGCCCTAACTGAAGTTTTCCGTATTTCATTAACTAAGGGAACTATGAGAGTCATTAAAAATATTCTTGGCTTTCAAACATTTGGTTTTGATGTGTTAGACTGGAGAGACATCCTCCCACTGTAGAACTCTGAAGCTAAAGGTAGTGATTCAAATGGTTTAAATAGTCTGAAGGTTTCTTCATACTTCTGCAAGAGATGTTAGCACAATTTCAATTGTTTCATCAAATGGACCATCACATATGCAACGGTTACACTCTGTTCCCAAAGAAATGTGTGCAGTATTACACTGTGGTTGCTAACTGTCCCAAGGCTGCCACAAAAGTGTCAAAACAAAATGAATTCGATTTCATATTTAGTGTTAAAATAATCATTATGCCACACAAAACTTTTCTTCTAAAGAGGGCTGCATCATCATTGCCAAACAATAATGTTAAGTTCCAAAAGGACTGAGAATTCTGATCTAATCATGTGCTTCTGGAAATAACAGTAGACAAAAATGACTCAAATCCCCTCCCCCTCTCCCGGAACTAAGTAAAAAAATCGATCTCTGGAAGTAAGAAAAGAATTTCCAAGAGTTCGAAAAGAAATATTTGGGTTTTCCATAGAAGCTCAATTTTATTTGTATATTTTCTTATTTACTTTAATGAGTATTTTCATCTTGAGAGGTTCAGAAAATACAAGCTGGTGATTTCTGATCTGTTCCAATTTAAACCTCAGGAATGGCTCTACTAGTTATTAGCAAATGCTCTAATTCCTATTGAAAGTGGTCCCAAAATCCATAAATTAGTCTGGGAAGTTATGTGATGTCAGACCACTGGGAATTAGCCAATGCAAATGTTTACCTCTTAGCCCTATACTTAGAAATGTGCCAGAATGTATAGGAGATCCTCAGGAAAATTTTACTTACTCATTCAACATTGACGGCCACCTTTCATGTTCCAGGTATTACGTTAGGTGCTAGAGATACAACAGATGTGTTCACTGGAGTTCTAAGAAAGTGTCCACTTGCCCCTTTGACTCGTCTACCTTTAGCCTGGTCGTGACTCAAGGTAGCCCCAAATAATATCAGCATTTTCTCAATAGTCTTTCCTGGCTCCCTCTCTCCCTGTCCTGACTTTCCAATTTTTAAATGCCAAGGATGACCCTGGCATGCTCAAGACATTGTTTTTTATTTCTACTCTCTCTCTAGGGAGTCTCATGTGGTCTCCTGGCTCTAGATACCATCTTTATGCTAAAGACTCTCAAATGCACATCTTCAACTCTGTTCTGTCTCAGTGACTGAATCTCTTATCTCCTCAGTTGTTCAAAAACTTAAAACTCACCACTGATTCTATCTTCTTTCTTATCCCCCACAAGCAAACCAACACTAAGTCCTGTCAATTTTACCTCCAAAAGTTATCACAGATCAATCTACTTCTATCCAGTGTACTATCCTCAACCTAGTCCAAACCATTGTTCTCTCTCCTCTAGACCACTCTAATCGTCACTCACTATGTCTCTCCAATGCTACCCTTGTCTCTTTGTTTTTCACATAGCCAACTATCTTTTAAAAATATGAATCAGATCATGTTACCCCCAACCGCCACCATTTAAAACCCTTCAACGGGTCCCCATTGCAGTTAGAGTAAAACCCAAAGTCCTTACCACACACCATCGCTCAGGCACTGCGTGACCTCACCTCTCCCCATTTTGCCAACATCATCAGCTCTACTTGTTTTGCCTTTCTCACTATGCTCCATTCACACTGGCTTTCAGACTGTTCCTCAACAAGACAAGCCCTTTGCTGCCTGGGGGACTCAGCACTTTTCGTTTCCTTTGCTAGAACCCTCTTCCCCTGGTTTTGTGTGGTTGGCTTATTTATATCCTTCAAGCCTCAGATCATATGTCATTTCCTTAGAGAGCCCCTCCCTGACCACCCATCAAAATGGTCATACCCCGTTACTTTCTGCTTATCACCATATTTATTGCCTTCATGGTACAATCTGTAACTACCTTGTTTACCTGATTCCTTGTTTGTCATCTATCCTATATACTAGAATATAAACCACAGTGAAAGCAGGAACATTGTCTTACTCACTGCTGTTTACCAGCACTTAGCACTGGGAAAAAGTAAGTACTGGATAAATGTCTATTAAAAAAAAAAGGAAAAGGAATGAGAGGAATATGAGCTATAGAAAATACCCTATAAACATCTTTGGACAGGCAGAATAATGGCCCCCACAGATGTCCATGCCTTAATTCCCAGAACCTGTGAATATGTTACCTTACATGGCGAAACGGACTTTTGCAGATGGGATTAAAATTAAGGATCTTGAGATGGGGGTATTATCCTGGATTATCTGGGTGGTCCCAATCTAAGCACATGAATCCATAAAAGTGGAAGAAGAAGGCAGAAGAATGAGTCAGGGAGATGTCATGTAAGATGAATATGACCTCCCACTGCTGCCTTTCAAGATAAGATGAAGGGGCCCTTAAGAAGCTGGGGATGGTCCTCAACTTACAGATAACATAAAATCTGTTTCTTGTGGGTCATGGTTAAAATGTTTGAGAAGCTTCGATCTAAACCAAAATCTGATGGTTTCCCTCCCTCGAAGCTATAATGTCCAAGGTCCTGACATACAATGGTCTTTGTGAGCTAATTCCTGTCTTTACCACCAGCCACATCCATCGCCACTGTCTGCTGAAACCCTACTGTCTAGTAATGCTGAGCTGCTTATAGTTTCCCTGCATACCCTATGCCAATTTATGCTTCTGTGTCTTTGCTCATGCTAATCTCTTTACCTTGGCACTATTCTTAGACTGGCTAAATTTTACTGACAGTCTAAACTCAGTTCAGACAACTTTCATTCAGTCATTCATTCAACAAATTTGCATTAAGCACCTATTGTGTGCCAGGGACCACCACCCATAGCCAGTTTGTCATACTGTGGTGGCTTGTGTGTTGCTGTAATGCTGGAAGCTATACCACTGTTATTTCAAATACTAGCAGGGTCACCCATGGTAGACAGGTTTCAGTGGGGCTTAAAGACTAAGACAGACTAGGAAGAAAGGCCTAGTGATCCACTTCCAAAAATTAACTGATCAAAACCCTATGGATCACAACAGAATATTGTCTAATATAGTGCTAGAAGATGAGTCTCCATGTCGGAAGTCACTCAAAACACACAGTGACCACAACAATGGACTTGAGCATACCAACAATTGTGAAGATAACACAGGACTGGACAAGGTTTTGTTCTGTTGTACATGGGGTTGCAGTGAGTTGGTGTAAACTCAAGGGCAGCTAACAACAATGACATGTGCCAAGGGCTCAGATAGAGTGGAGAACAAGACAGACAAGGTTTCTGCTCTTGCAGAGCTAACTACTACTAGAGTAGGGAGACAGAAAACAAAGAAATAAATCACAAGCACATAAGTTCAGATAATGATAAAAGAAGAATATGAAAGAGGGTCAGAGGAGAGAGAGCCTGGGGAGGAGAGAAGCTGGTCAGTGAAAGCATTTCTAGGAGGCAATGCTTGAGTTGAGATTCAAACGACCAGGAGCGCCAGCCAAGCGAAGACTAGGGGAAGAGTTATCCAGACACAGAAAATGGTGAGTGCAAAGCATGGGGGCAGAGGAAAGAGCTTGCCATGGATAAGGTGCAGAAATAAGGCCAGTGAAGCTGGAAAAAGTGAATGTGGGGAAAATGGTATAAAATGAAATTAGAGAAGAAAGCAAAACAACAACAACTCGTTGCCGTAAAGTTGATTCTGACTCATAGCGACCCTGTAGGACAGAGTAGAACTGCCCCATAGGGTTTCCCAGGAGTGCCTGGTGGATTCAAGTAGCGACCCTACAGGACAGAGTAGAAATTTCCTCATAGGGTTTCCAAGGAGCGCCTGGTGGATTTGAACTGCTGACCTTTTGGCTAGCAGCTGAACTCTTAACTACTATACCACCAGGGTTTCCAGAGAAGAAAACAGGGGCCAGATTTCCTATGGGCTTGTTTGCTATGGAAGGGATCCTGGATTTTACCCTCAAATATATGGGAAAACCACTGGAGGTTTTTAATTAGGGGTATTACAAGACATGAATTACATTGGGAAAAACAAACAAACAAACAAAGATTACTCTGAACCCTGGGTATGAGGGCCAGAGTGGAAGTAGGCAGACTAGCAATTACAGAAGCAATTGCTGAGGGCCCGGGGAAAAATGATGGAGATGTGGACCATGGTTGTAGAAGTGGAGATAAAAAGAAGCAGTCAGATCTCAGCAAGTCTTACCTAAGTCTTCAGGTCAGAACAAAGATTCCTACCAGCATCCTGATGGTATCCTAGTATATCACTGTTTAACCATTTGCCACTGAGTCAATTCGGACTCATGCTCCAACCATGTGTGTTAGACTAAACTTGTGCTCCACAGGGTTTTTAATGGCTGATCTTTGGAAAATGGCTGATTTTTTTTCTTCCAAGGTGCCTCTGGTTCACTTGAACCGCCAACCTTTCAGTCAGTAGCTGAGAGCATTAGCCGTTTGCATCACCCAGGGCTCCTACCCCTGTCTTAGCACCTACTATATTAAATGGAACTAATCTATTTTGGTATTTGCCTTTCTCCTCCATTAGCCTGCAAGCTCCTCAGGAGCAGGGCCTCAATGTGTGGCACATAGTAAATACTCAATACATGTGCTGACCTGGCAAAACGTAAACGAGTTTTCTCTGGTGATCTATTGAATTTCCAGTTTAGTTTAAAGTAAGTACTTTTTAAAATAATCAAATCTTATTCTGCTACGTTGTGGTCGACATCACTAGTACATTTTTGTTTACTGAAGCTACTTTAGTTGCTGCATTAAAATCTGGAATATTCTGGCATAGAGAAAATGCTGAATTGAACTAGAAGATAATTGGATGGACAAATACATAGGAATTAAGTAGTTCTCTGCTTCCTAACTGGAAAGGATGTCTATAGCACGTCTTTATAAGGGTTTTCAATGTGCATGGCAATTTATGAAGCTATCACATTCCCCAAATAATAAAATATTTAACTCGTCATCCTAAGGAGTTTTAAAATGAAGATATACATAAGAAGTAGATAAAACAGAAGATAAGCTTGAGTTTACATCATACATTGATCTAAACACAAACTTGCTCATTTTCTCTGAATACCAGGTAAAAGCAGCTTCTCCATTTATGAGAAACTCAGAACCCCAAAGACCTTCAAGTAAATGAGGTATCTTCCAATAAAATGAAACCTCCTATCAACTGTAAACATCCTTCATACAGCCTGCTTGGAGGGTCGATATTAAAACTACAACCCTACCTTGAATCAGAAAATCAAAGAGCATGCTATGTCGTTGACTCATCACTCAAGTTGTGACAGTTTCCAGACGGTGAAAACAGTGTCTCAGATGAGGGGGAACCAGAGCCAGAAACAGCGACTGGCAGGAGGGCAGAGGGGACAACTTCCCCTCAGTGAGTCTCTTTTCCCTCAGCTCCAGACAGAAGCACAAAATAGGCAGCTCCTTCAAAATAATTTTTTACTAGGCTAGGAAGAAACCCTTAAGTTTTCCTCTTCAGGTGACCATTCCACATAGGTAGGACACTTTCCTACTTCTACCTTTTTTTCCCCTTCCTGAAGCACCATATTAAGTGTAAGAAGCAGTACGATATTGTGGAAAAGGGCTACTGAATCTCAGTTGTACTGTATATAATTAACCGTGAGAGCTCCATTTCCTCATCTGTACAAAATGAGCCCTGGTGGTACAACAACGGTTAAGTACTTGGTTGCTAACCCAAAGTTGGCAGTTCGAACCCACCCAGCAGCTCCATGGGAGAAAGATTAGGCAATCTGCTCCTGTGAAGATTAAAGCGTAGACAACCCTATTGGGCAGTTCTACTCTGTCACATGGGGTTACTATGAGTCAAGATCAACTCAACAACAACGACAACAGGTATAGTAATAACTACCTACACATAGTTATTGTGAAGAATAAATGATAATGTCAAGGAACCATGCACTAAGGAGGCACCCCACTGAGACTAGTTCCCATTTTCCCTTCATTTCTTTTTCAAATTACTTGTGACTTTCAATGTACTAGAATTGTATGTTTGTTAAGCCATTTATCAGGCAATCTTTATTTCTAATCCTGGCTATCAAAGAATTTTTAAAACTCAGGAGAGGAAGGAAACTCAAAGGTTATTTAGTATGTACCACACCCCTACTGCTTCCCCCCACCCCACCTCCCAAAAGCTGTCATTTCAGTCTGGGCTAGGACAGAACAACCAAGTGATTATCCTGAATATGCATCAAAGCCTCTAGGAAGGAGACGGCTTCTCAGAGGCCACTCATCTTTTTTTTTTTTTCTACAATGTGAATTACTTTTTGTCATGAATTGTGTCTCCCAAAAATATGTGTATCAATTTGGCTAAGCCATGGTTCCCAGTATTGTGTGATTGTCCACCATTTTGTCTCTGATGTGATTTTCCTATGTGTTGTAAATCCGATCTGTATGATGTTGAGATGGGATTAGAGGCAGTTATGTTAATGAGGCAAGACTCAATCTACAAGACTGGGTTGTGTCTTGAGCCAATCTCTTTTGAGATATAAAAGACAGAAGTGAGCAGAGAGACATGGGGAACTCATAGCACGAAGAAACAAGAGCCAGGAGACTAGCAAATCCTGTGGACCTGGGGTCCCTGCACTGAGAAGCTCCTAGTCCAGGGAAAGAGAGATGACAAAGACCTTCCTCCAGAGCCAATAGAGAGAAAGCCTTTCCCTGGAGCTAGCACCCTGAATTAGGGCTTATAGCCTCCTAGGCAGTGAGAGAATAAATTCTCTTTGTTAAAACCATCCACTTGTGGTATTTCTATTATAGCAGCACTTGATAACCAAAGACACTTTTATTTTAAGGTTTTTACATTTAGTAAATAATTTTTCAGCATTCAAAAGGAATTTGTAGCAAGTTATTGGCCTTTTCAATCATGTACACATTCA